TATATATATATATATAAGTATACAAGAGATGAAGAGAGTTTACATAGAAGAAGCCATATTCCTGGCATGCTTGACGTAGGTTTTCAAGGGCAAGAAACCGTTGAACTGGGTCATCAGAGAATAATAGCAAGTAATCAACTGTGGGTATTTCATCTTCAGAGGCTGAATAAAGATAAGCATGGCGATGATCTACCTCTGCTTCCTGAGAAGAAGCATTGAAGTAAAGTGGGGCAACATTCAATTTAGGTTCGGAAGGGTAGTGTTGTTGGGCAACAAATGATGTTGTTTCCGCCATGACAATAATACAGTGAACAAGAGAGAGATTTACCTTAACTAATTTATGTTGAGATGCATGAACATGTCCCTCTTCCTTTATATAGGCCACTGTGACCGAGTGAAGACCGAAAAGTGTTGCTCAATTTTCATTATTATATATATGGCCCACTAGGCATAGAATATTTTCATATACTAGGTATAACAAATATTATCATGTGTCATGGATCCAACTTGACCAACTTGGCTCTGAGTAGATAATACTTCCTTACCATATATTTTATCTCATACACGTATTCACACATTGTTCGTTAGAAAAGACGAACGCTTTTCTCGGTGATTGTTAGAAACGACAAACTGATGTTAAGTAGATGAAATATAAACGAAACCTCCATGCATCTGATGAGCACATTCGTGTTAAGTCATCGAGTTAAATACGAAATAGTTAAGACTATAAAAGAAAATTAAAAGTGTGTTGTTAAAAATAAAAGCCATTAATTATTAATTTCACACGTTGAGGAATTGTACATATGTTGCTTACCTGTAATAATTGATTACCATATTCTATATCACATGTATAATTGATTTTATTTTATTTGAAAGCATGGTGCCCACCTAAAACAAATTGAAATAGATCAATTCATTCTTGTTTGGGAATGGCTTAATTAAGTTTTTAGGTCTTTCTCAACTAAGTTTTTATTTTTATTTTTTTAAGTTACTAAAACAATTGTAAGAGAGTAGATTCTTACCGCTATTTAAACCACTGTTTAAACCTAAACTATGAAAATAATTTCATTCAATGCAATCACCATTTAAACTAATTAATTCAAAGGCTATTATTGAAATAAAATTTAAATGTATGACATCGTTAACAAAAATTAACTATTTTAAGTACGTTTATTGAATTTAATTACTTATTTATTTATTCACTAAATAAAAGATCATTGGAAGTATTATGGCAAGCAAAATTAACCTAAGATACAATAAACTATAACCAATTAATTAACATTATGATAAAGTAGAAAATGTATATTAATTAACTAAAACGAAGATCATAACCAGTTTAAATTTGATAAACATAATGTAAATCAACTAGACATAAAAAAACTAATCTAGGTATGTTCATACAACTAAAATTAAGCATTGTTCAAAGAAATTTTAAAAAGAAAGTTGCCCATCTTGTGTGAATGTCTTCTAATTCTTCATTGGTGAATGGAGTGGAATTTTTGAATATCTGTAAATTGAAAATAGCGATAAAATAAACATTAGTTGATGAATAAATAATAAAATAACAATTAAAGTAATTTAATTGATTCAAATATTGTTAAGTCGTCAAAAGACGATTCTCTTAACTCATAATTTTAATGCTAACAAATAAAATATTTTATATAAAAAAAAATGTCTGCAAAAACATCTTTGAAACTATCTTTGAAAGGCTTATCAAATGAAGTGTAAAATGCTGATCATTTGTAAGGCGATTGTTAATTAAACAAAGCATACAATATGTCTTATATACATTCAATATTTATCATTTATTGAGATTAATGACAAAGCTCACTTTAAATGTTTCAGATCAAATCAAAAGACTGTCTTAGAACTCACAAATATGTTAAAGAGAAGAACTATATTTTTCGTCAGAACCAAATCGTTGAAATCATGAAGAAAAGTAAATAAAGTCACTGTAATAGTTACTGTATGATGACATTACTTTTGCAACCTCTGTTTGGTATGAAAGTAGTCTCCTTGATCAGATAAAATGTACTATTCACTAGTACAAAAGAGGTGTATTACGTCGGATATTTTGAGCTTTTTACGTCAGAAAACATGCTGACGTAAAAGCGGGAGACGTAAATTTTACGTCGGATCTGCAAAACTGACGTGAATTTACGTCAGACAATACGAATCCGACGTAAAAAAGTAGCAAAAAAAACAAAAAAAAAAACAAAAATGCAAGCAGAACGGCCTGTTCTTTGCAGAACAGGCCGTTCTGCTTGCAGAACAGGCCGTTCTACTTGCAGAACGGGCCGTTCTGGTTGCAGAACAGGGCGTTTTGCTTGCAGAACAGGTCGTTCTGCTTCGTATAACAACCCAAAAGAAAACGCTCACTACCTATACAAATAGAACAACAAAAAAATCGAATAAAACAGATAGCCAGAGTAGCAATGCGAAGTAGAAAAGTGCTAACGAAACCTTGATTCATACCTGAGGAGCAGCAACAATGTGCAAATGAGTAACAAAGAGTTCATCCCTCTGCAAAAGACAAAAAAACGATTCAGTAACAAAGGAGAGGGAGAGGGTTTAGAGAGAAAAAAATGAAAAGTGATGAAGAGTGAATGCGCGCGGTGTGCCTCGCGCTCTCTTATTCAAATTTGCGTCCTTTTTTACGTCAGACCTGGCAGGGTCCGACGTAAAAAAGTTCGCGAAAATTACAAAAATGTCACCGCGTTTTTTTTACGTCAGATTTTTGTATTTCTGACGTAAAAGGGGTGACGTAATATGCTGATTTTCCACTAGTGATTTGGTGAAATGCATTTAATGCTCGCATTAAATGTGCCAAATAGTTACCTACCACCACAAGGAAAATGATGAAGACAAATGAAACAAACTCGTGAATTGGACTCAAAGTGTTGCAATGATCATTTTCTCCAAAACTAATATATAATAAGTTTTGAAGATCAAGACATAGAAGCTATTATTCAAATACAAGAATATTCAAAAACACATCTCTTCTATATAGATTTTGTCTTGTAGCTAGAAAAATCTTTGTACCAAAACATTGTTGTATTCACATCTTAAAGAAATGATCGTAACAACCTTATAATACCTTCATAACTATTGTTATAGGATAGAGTCTAAAGAGGATCAACTATAAAAGAATACTTAGGTAGTGACTTGAAGAAGTCAATCAAAAAACACTTATTGTATAGCTTGGAGAAACTTGACTGTAAAAGAATATTTGGATAGTGGCTTGAAGAGGTTAATCAAAGAACACTTATTATAAAGCCTGAAGAGGCTTAACTGTAAAACAATACTTGGATAGTGGCTTTAAGAGGTTAGTCAAAGAACACTTATTATAGAGCCTAAAGAGGCTTGATTGTAAAGGAAGACTTGGGTAGTGACTTGAAGAGACCTGTCAAAGAACACTTGTTGTAGAGCTAGAAGTGGCTTGTGAAAGAATACTTGTAACTTTGAGAAAGTTAGATGAACTCAATCTTGTTGGATTGAGAACTAGAAATAGTCTTTGTAGGTGAGGCAAACCAATATAAAAACACTAAGTGTTTCATTTTCTTTTTTTTTATTACTCTTCTAGCACTTCGTCTGTTATAGATACTACTTCACTTTCTTGCAAAAAGTGTGATTTTTTGATATTCACTATTCAACCCTCTTCTAGTGACTATCTTTTCTGCACGATTTGGCATTAGAGCTTAACCTTTGACAAGGTTGAGCATCTAATTGTGGTAAAGGAAAAAGATTCAAATGGGAAGTAGTGAAAGTCAATATCTACCAAAAGGAACTTCTCTTACAAAGCCTTCAACCTTTAAATGGAGAAGACTACACATACTGAAAGGACCGAATGAAAATGTTCATAAAGTCTACTTAGTAACCCCTATGGAAAGTAATAACCCAAGGTGACGTTGTTGTTACAAAGCTTGAAACACAATACACTTAAAAAGACTATAACATTCTACAAAACAAAATGAAGACGCACTACCTCATTACATGCTCATTGTCTCAAATTGAGTATAACAAGTTATGTAGTTACTCCACTACAAGGAAATGTGGGATGCCATCAAGGTAACTCATAAAAGCATTGAAGACATGAGGCTTAGGAGAGCATTTACTCTTTAGAGGCACTATGAGTTGTTCTCTATTGTAGACCCCTAAAATTGTCCGGGTCGGAAATAAGATTTATAAGTTCAAAATGTTTGAAACGTTGTAGCATTTAAATTCAAATTTTTGAAGTTTCATCTTCTGGTAATCGATTACAAGGTCTAGTAATCGATTACTAGAACACATTTTGTATTCAGAATATGAACTTTGAAGTTTCCTTGTTCTGGTAATGGATTACAAGGTCTGGTAATGGATTACCAGAACAAATTTTTGCATTGTTTCAAAAACTTTTATGTAGAAAACTTCATATCAATAATTTCTTTCACAAATCTCTTTAAGAAATGATTTGAACTATTCTTTAAAGCTTTTGTTAAGTCTTTTGAAAACATTTTTACTTACTTTCAAAAGATTTAAAACTTGCTTAAATTTAAAGAGATTAATTTGACATTTTTGAAAACTTATTCTCAAGGCCAAACTTACTTGCAATTCTAAAAGATTCTTTTACATTCTTAGCTAAGTTGACAAGACTTATCTAT